TGCCATGGACGGCTGCGGACACGGTGGATAGAAGTTCATTCTCATCCCGGCGGAGTGCTTGGATTTGAAGTTCTTGCTGAAGAAATCCCGGTCCAAGTCCAGGCTCTCGGCTAAAAGCTCCAGGATCTTGATCCCGAGGGAGTGGAGTACGTTGCCATAGTCCATGATGGTGGAGCTGCGAGAATGAGATGATTAACGAGTGGGAAACTGAACTAGAAGAGAGATAACTGAGGTACCTGAGCTCCGAGTTTCCATCTGGCCATAACTTCTTAACTATCGGCACCACGTTGGAAGTTGGAGCAATTTGCAAAGTGAAAGTCTCGGACCACAGGACGCGAGTTGGAATGAAGCCATGCCTGCCTGGAAGTTCGGAAGGCAGCTAAGGAGCTTGGTAAGCTCTCTAGATGGCAACGCTAGCGTTGGCGAGTATGCTCCAGCGGCAAACTTTTGCGGCGAGCACCGGGGCGAAGCCCAAGAGCTCCACGCGAAAGCCATCCATTACAGACTGGAGCTCGACGCTTTCCTCGGGAAGAACATCGTCAAGATGTACCTTAAGTGCGGCAGCGTGATGGATGCGAGCAAAGCACTGGTGGAACCGGATGTGACTTTGTGGACGGAAACCATCGCCAAGCACACCAAGCGTGGCGTGGCCAAGGAAGCTCTCAAGATCTTCCAAACCATGCAGCTACACGGCGTGGCTCCAAGAAAGATCACGGCTCTAAACGCGTGCTAGAGGCTGGAAGATCTGAGAGACATCCACGACAAGATCGTCCAGGGCGGAGCCGAGTCCAATCCAATGGTTGTTGTGCAGTGATCGAGAGTGGAAGCGGAGTGAACATCCTGCTGGAGGAGGCCTGGAGAAATCTCCTAGAGCCTGTTCCTGTTTCATTCATGGCGAAGATGCCTGACCAGCACTGTGCTTTATGTAATGGATGCATGTTCGACCTTATGCGCTGGTCAACCGGTTATCTTCACCATGAATGAATGGAATTTCTGGGAGATTTAATTGCTTCCGTTCCTTATTAATTCCACTGTTATAATCTTTGAGTGCTTACAATGAATAAATTTGCGTTAATAATTAACTAAGCTGAATGTAAAATCATCTTCTTGTGAACCTTTATGGCAATTGCCGTAGTGCCTTTTGCATTCCAAATTGTAAAAGCTTGTAAGATGTTATGGTTTTGGTGCCAGCATCTTGGATTACCTCAAATATATATATATATATATATATATATATATATATATATATATATATATATATATATATATATATATATAAATGTAGTGGACACGGATGGAATGGTGTTGTCATACGTGATAAATCTTTTGTGGTCCTGAATCACACGAAAAATTCGTGTGAATAGTCTCTGGCCTAGCTGTCGTGGGGACCACGCTTTATTCTCAGATGCACTCGTCCATATAATGCTTAGATCTGTCATTCATAAAAAGATAAAACTAGACATTTGCGTTGAGCTTTCCTTCTAGTCGGTCTTGCTCTCGTCTGAGATCTTCATGAACGTGTCCAGGCCACCTTTGCCGCGCATCCGCTTGGTTCTAATCTGCTGCAAATACTCTGCCCAAGTGAAGGGCCTGTAGAGCAGTGGATGGGCTTCGTCCACGAGCTGCGCTGGAACCTCCATGGATACACTGTCGTCCGGGCTGTAGAAGAAGGCAACGGACAAACGAGCGTTATTGCCATTCACAACAGCGCGGTGCTGGACGCTGCGAAACCTGCCATTGCTCCACGCCTGAAAGAGAAAGCAGTAACGAGCGGGAAGTTAAGAAGAGAATAACTTGGTTTACCTGGAGACTATCTCCAATGTTTAGGACCAGTGAGTCGACATCGGGCTTGACGGCTATCCATTTGTCGTCCTTTTGGATCTGGAGGCCCCCGACTTCGTCTTGGTAGAGCATTGTCAGGCAGTTTGGGTCGGCGTGGGCTCCCAGACCGAGTGCCATGGACGGCTGCGGACACGGTGGATAGAAGTTCATTCTCATCCCGGCGGAGTGCTTGGATTTGAAGTTCTTGCTGAAGAAATCCTGGTCCAAGTCCAGGCTCTCGGCTAAAAGCTCCAGGATCTTGATCCCGAGGGAGTGGAGTTCGTTGCCGTAGTCCATGATGGTGGAGCTGCGAGAATGCGATGATCAACGAGTGGGAAACTGTAAATAGAAGAGAGATAACTGAGGTACCTGAGCTCCGAGTTTCCATCTGGCCATAACTTCTCAACTATCGGCACCACGTTGGAAGTTGGAGCAATTTGCAAAGTGAAAGTCTCGGACCACGGGACGCGAGTTGGAATGAAGCCGTGCCTGCCTTCGTATCCCTGGAAGAGACCGAGCGATGCTTTCTCCTTGTCTTCGGCAGGCAGTGAAAAGAACGCTCGTCCTTGAGTTCTCACTCTTTCCAGCAGCTCCAGAGGGATGCCGTGGCCAGCCACCTGAAAGAATCCCCACTCGCTGCTGGCCTCCGCAACTTCCCGAGCAATTCTCTTCCTCGACTCCTCGGAACACTCCGGCAGCAACAGTTCCCTGAGGTCCACAACTGGCAGGGACACCTGCTCGGAGTAACCATCGTGAGGCACTGTGACACGCTCCGACTCAGGAAGCAAGAACACCTCCGGAATGGTCTCTGTGCCTTGCAAAGCTTTCGCAAGGGAGCCAACGTTGGTGCTTGCCCCTGAAATGGGAATATTGTGGACCGAAGGAACTGAAGCTGGCTGGAGTGTCTGAGCTGCTGCCATTGCAAGATATCAAGTCGTTAAAAGAACAGCAAGCAACTCGGACACCACAATCCTAGACTAACTGCTTAGATATAGACTTTATGCATCAGAAAGCAGCACTAGAAAGAATCCTCTCCGAAGACAAACACGCAATATATAGTCCTGAAACAGGAGCTAAGCGTCCTGAGGTACTGGATGCCTTTTCAGCGAGGAGGCGCGCTCACACAGACAGCATGAAAAGCTGAACTAGGACTCACTACGAACTCCACGCTTCGCCGGTGCTCCTCTCTCACTTTATAGTACCGAAGTGTTTGCAGATCGTAACATTAGTTTGCTCTGCGAGAATCAGAGAGGCGGCGGTTCACGTGACACAGGATTCCAAATGCAAAATGACACTGCTTTCTTTTCCCAGTCAAATATGCATGAACCTGATCCTGACACTCAAATTTCAAATATCTACGGCAAACCTGGAGTTAACCAGAACTGTGGCTCAGTCTTCTAGCGATTAGCTTGTGCCTGCAGAAGTTTTCTCGTATTCTTCTTTCCTCCGCTCTAAGATGTCTTCTACTTTCCCAAGCAATCTCTAGAGTACAAACGAGCAAATGCGGTAGGAATACGAGCAACTTCAACAAAATGAGCTGACCTTGAAACTGTCACGATGAATTGAAACGCACTTGCATTTCGTTGTCGCTCTGACAGTCGCTGCTCTAGGATTGTTGCTTAGTAGCGCCAACTCCCCAAAGTAATCTCCACGCTTGTATTTCATTAGTACCTTGTCTCCTGTCCTTGCCTCGGCTTCTCCCTGCGAAATAAATTCAGTTTCCACAAGCGGTAGCGAGTCTTACTTCTTCCACAAAATAAAACTTGTTTCCTTCTTGGCCCTCCACTATAATGTCTGTGTTTGGTTCGTAGTATTCCGCGTCCAAAACATCGGCAATTGCGGATCTTTCGTACGCTGTTAGCGTCTACACGCCAACCAAAATAAAGGCGAATTGATGGAGAAACGATTGCAAACTATTTACCTTCAGCAAAGGAACCTCTGCCAAAAACTTTTCGTACAATTGCCGCTTGTTGTTGGTAGTTTGCATAAGAATCGCTCGAAAAGTGGGCCTGTCTACCGCCCAGAGTGTACAGCTTGTAATTGCCTGAAAAGAATACCAAATGAGTCCTGCAAAACCAGCAAACATATTTTAATGAATGGTAAAACCTTGACAGTTGCCGCACGGGGAGCATTGTACAGAAGCGCAAGCTCTCCGAATGTGTCTCCAGGACCATATCTCTTGACCATCTCGGGGCGTATCCTCTCTGGGTCCTTCAACCACACTTCACATTCACCTATCTAAACAAAGAGTCAAAACAAGGGAAAAAACATGGAATGAAGAAGCACACCTCGATGAGGAAAAATTTGTCACCCTCATCGCCCTGCTTGATTATAATGTCATTGGGGTTGTACTTAACTTCCTCCACAGAATCCACCACCTGAAGCATAATCCCGCGTCAAACACAAAAGCCAAATGCTTTGAGCTACTATAATTGTTACCGTGCACCTTTGAGGGATTATGGTGAGCTAATAGGCAAAGCTTCTTTGCGGAGAAGAACTTTTACCGTCTTTGTTTGCTCCTTGTCGAGAGACTTGAAAAGATAGTTCTTCTCCAATGCGTGCTGAATGCGTTCCCGCGCGGCTTCATTCTTTTCGATGGCCTGAGAAATGAGAAAAGCAAAAACATCGATCGCTCGTTGAGAAAAATTCCAAGCATTGACAAAACCAAACATAGAGGAATGAGCGACGAGCTTACCCTTGGAACATAAGCTGCTGCTTTCTCAATATCTGATTCGGCACTCACTGCAAGCCTTCTTTTTGTTGACTGGCTCATGAGCTTGGCAGCTTTTTGATTCAGCTTTGTCCGCTCCTGCACGAATCGCATTCGCAAAAAAAATCGAGCATGCAATAGATTAACACAAGCATCTTGAATGTCACAGGTAAGCAAATGGATGGATCGAAACACTCGACAATGCAAGCGGCATTCACGAACCCAAGCAAAATATCCAAGAATGACGAGGATCGCTTACCCGAGGAGTCGATGCGGCGGTGCTGTCAGGGCCGCCCCCACAGGGAGGCGCCATCCCCGACGCGCACCCCTTCTTTGCCTTGGCAAGAATGCCCCCGTTGCCAAATATCTTCCTTCCAACCCTAACCTTGGGGAGTTTCAGCTTCATCAACACCGCCGCCTCTACGCACCCGCGCCGCCAATCGCTCCATCGCCGCCGCTCCTCCCTCCGCCGCCTCTCCTCTCCGCCATTTCCTTTCCACTCACCATCGCTCCTCTCTCCCTTCTAGTTTTCAAAATAGGAGTGACGGTTTGTGTCACGGGGCCACGCCAGCCCTTAAATCTCTATGTGATTTGTCCACGTCGGCCCTAAAATGTTTATATGGTATCCACATCAGCCCTAAGTCTTTATGAATTGTCCACATCAGCAAGGAGGAACCCTAGACCCGGAAGCTATGGCAGTATTGCTCCTCGTGACTGCAACGCAAGAGAGTGACACTCTGCTCTTCACTCTGGCATCCAGCGATTTCAAGTAAGTGAGCTCCGCTCGATTCGAGTTTCACGCTTTTCCCTGTCTAGGATCGTGATCGCGGGTGGCCGACCGGCTCCAATTGCCCCAGCGTCTTGCAGATTCGTGGAGCTCGATCTCCGTGGCGATGAAGCGAGCGTGGAGCAATCGATCGCCAGCGCGTGGGCGGCTTTTGGGCGGATCGATGCGCTCGTCTTCTTGTGTGATCACGATCAAGGGAGCTTTCAGCCGGTGCTGGAAGCGAGCGAGGAAGATTGGGATGGAGCGGTGGAAAAGAACCTCAAGGCGGCTTGGCTGGTGAGTAGATCCGTGGCGAGACGCATGAAACTCTCCGGAGCAGGTGGATCGATCGTGTTTGTGACGTCCATCGCTGGGAGCGAGCGAGGATTGTTTCCAGGAGCGGGGATCTACGGCACCTGCATTGCGGGAGTCCATCAGTTGAGCAAGGTGAGAGAGAAAAAGTTCCATACCTCTGGAAAGTTTTTGATCGATCTCGATATTCCTGGCCAGGCGCTGGCGATGGAGCTCGGCAAATTCAACATCCGCGTCAACTGCGTTGTTCGTGGCTGGAGTGAGTCGGACGCAGCGGCCATGATCTCGGCAAACTCGAGTGGCAAGAACACGGCCTTGACGACGAGCAGCGTGAGCAAGCTTCTTCCGCTGGAGCGCTGGGCCGATGGTTCCCGCGACTTGGCCTCGAGCCTGCTCTACTTCGTGAGCAAGGATTCGTCTTTCATCACTGGAACCACCGTTGCGGTGGATGGCGGTCAGTCGTTGGTGAGGCCTCGGCTAAAGTCGCGTTTTTGATAACCTTCTTCAACCAGACATCTCTGAAAAAACGCTATGAGAAAATCCACATCGATAGTAATGTACACACGCTCGTATAAATCACAGAAAATCTTACAGATCGATCACTCAGTCTTGACTCTTATCCACGGTCTTCTGCAAGGCAGGAAAACTCATCAGCGTCTCGGATGGATCAAACCATTCTATCCTTCAACATACCGGCTGAAACGAAGAACATACGCTGAGAAGCTCTTCCACGGGAGCCCAGTCTCCAAAGTTCCTTTCCACGAACGGGTTTGCAACCCAGCGCTTTCCCAGCACGTATGATGTAGAGTCCGCCTTTGATCAGGCCCTCTCCCACAAAGTTCCCCTCGGCTCCACTCGTCTGCGCGCGCTTGTAATTCATCCGAGCTGCCGCGTTGAAGCAAAAGCCCGTCACAAGGTTGTCTTTGAGCAACCGGCCACCTCCGAGCGCCTGGAAAAACTCCCTGTTCTTGTCCACCACCACCATTCCTCCCCAGTAGCGAGGCCAGAACGCTCGCACCTAGAAAAAAGAGTTTTTGATGATGTTTTCAGGAAAGAATCGCTCAAAGTTACCTCGGCTTCCATGTACTCGCCAAGGACTGCCACGAGATGAACGCCCATGGCGTCGAAGATCGGCTTGCGAGCGTAGAGCTGGTGTGCCTCGGCTCGACACATGACACATCTATGAAACAAGTTAGCGAGAAGAACACGAATCTCTCAAGGAACTCGGTCTCAAACTCTCAAACTTGCACTTACCCGGGTCTTCTCATGATGAACAGCAATGCCGGGCGACGGCTCCAGAGATCCGCCGCTTTGATCGGCGGAGGCAATGCCACGCCCGAATCGATGCTCCATCCATCGATGGAGCTGCCCCTTTTGTGCTCTGGAGTGACGCGCTGCACGCTGATCTTCTCGAGGACTTCGATCGGCGTCACATTCTCGTCGACATGCAGGGAAGGGATGAGGCCACAGAGCTTCGGGACCGCTGGCGCCGACGCGACGATCCCCTTGGTCTCCTTCTTGGACGGATCATCTCGAGGAGGACTAGGGTTCTTGGCGGGACGAGCACTGTCGGACTCCTCCGGCTGAGAATCTTTGGAAGATACCGTCGATACTGTGGAGCGTGTTCTTCGCGAGGCCGGCAGCGACAAGGATGGCGGCATCCGGATGCCGCACGCGACGGAGCGATCAACGAATCGCGCGACGTGGCCGCGCTTCATTCCAAACTGGCTGGCGAGCGCGGTGGGGGATTCGCCGATCAGCTCCGCCAGGGTTTTGCCGGACGCTTCCAGCTTGTCTGCGTACTCCATGAGCGCTCGATCGTGCAAGTAGCTGCGGATTTCGAGCGCGTCCTGCAAGAAATTCGTTAGATCGCAAGAAATTTCGTTAGATCGCCGCAAGACAATCGAAAGCTGGAAGAAATTCATACCCGCTGCTGCTGCGTGAGATTGAGCGCCTCCATGTCCTCGCTGCTCATCATCTTGATCGTCGGAACGTCGTCCCAGCCATCCGCGACAAGCGAATCGATGATCTCCTTGAGCGTGCCATTGCCGACGAAATCCGCGAGCGCGTAAGACGACGCCATGGATCCACTCTTCCAAAACCTAGCTAGCCGAAGAATGTGGATATGGCGGCCCTTTATAAATTAACTGGATAAAGATAAAAAAGACCTCTAAATTGTAGACGAATATACTGCAGATCTAGGGTTAGGGCTCATCGAAATTTCTAGGGTTCTTGAAGTAGGATGAGCTATCCGGCACCGGCACAGGAGGAAATCTAGAGCGCGGAGATGGATTTCGACGAGTACGAGTACCTGGAGAAGACGGTTGAGAGCGCCGCTGCCGCCGGTGCTACAGCCGGGGCAAATGGCGAGGGCGCCAAGGCGGTGGCGGCGGCGGAGGACGATGGGCACAAGAGCGAACACCGCAGTAGCAAGCGCTCGCGGGGGGACGAGGAGCGCGATAGGGATAAGGGCGATCGAGAGAAGCGGTCGCGCCGGGAACACAGGAGCTCCAGGTATGAGCGGGAGAAGGATAGAGATCGAGGGCGCGGCGACGACAAGGAGAAATCCGAGAGGGATAGGGACCGGGATAGGGACAAAGAAAGGTCTCGGAGTAGAAGGGATGACAGGGATAAAGACTCGCGACGCCACAGCCGAGATAAAGAGAAGGAGGAGAGGGCAAGCTCCAAGGACAGGGAGAAAGATAAGGACTTTCGGTGAGTCTTATCAAACTCTTCTCTTTGAGTTAATGGGTGTTTTTTGGTTTGTTTTTTTTTTCCTTTGTCCAGGAAGTCTCGAGAGAGGCGAGACAGGAAGGAAGAATCAGCACCAGCGGAGTCTGAGCCTGATCCCGAAAGAGATCAGCGAACAGTCTTTGCTTGGCAGGTCCTTGAAAGTTCTCCATTTTTATTTTTCTTTCCTTCTCACAGAGAAGTGTTGATTTTGCAGATTTGTCTCAAAGCGGACGAGAAGCACGTCTACGATTTTTTCTCCAAAGCCGGAAAGGTGAGCACACTAGTGATCTAGCTCTGATAGGAAGTGCGTGAGTTTAATGTCTGAGTTGGTCATTTCGTTTTGTCTTCGCATCAGATAAGTCATTTGTGCTCCTATTTGCAGTATGAAAAAAGCACCTGTCTGCTTTCGACGTGGGAAAACATGTAAGTATCTTGTGGCTCCGAATACTGTAACGGTATCTTCTGTTGAAGCCACTAGCTTGCCGTGGTCTGGGTTGTTCTCTCGCTCTCACTTTCGTAACAAGTATCTCAAAAAATTCCACGTGCTTTTTGTGCTGTCTATACAGGTCCGGGATGTGCGTCTCATCATGGATCGGAATTCTCGAAGATCTAAGGGTGTTGGGTACGTTTTCTTGTTCTGTTTTTCCTTGATTTTGTGTCTTCTAATTTTCTTGTATGCTCTCGCAGGTATATCGAGTTCTACGATGCCATGTCTGTTCCGCTGGCCCTCCAATTAAACAACCAGCCGCTGCTTGGTCAAAATGTGATGGTAAAACCGTCCGAAGCTGAAAAGAATTTGGTTCACTCAGCTAGTGGTGGATCAGCCGCGGGAGCTTTCAATGGCCCTTATTCCGGTGGTGCTCGGCGTTTGTACGTTGGAAATCTACATGTGAATATCACTGAGGACCAGCTCCGGCAGGTTAGAACGAATATTTCTAGACTTTTCAGCTCCTTTTTTTGTCAGGTTTTCGAGCCTTTCGGCGTCATCGAGCTGGTTCAACTCCCGCTGGACCAAGAAACAGGGCTTTGTAAAGGGTACGGCTTTGTGCAGTATAGCAAACTTGAGGATGCGCGAGCTGCTCAACAAGGACTGAATGGAATTTTGGAGCTTGCTGGACGAGCCATCAAGGTACATTGTTTTTATCTGGACTGTGGTTTCAGCCTGTTCTGTGTTTGTTTCCAGGTATCTGCTGTTACCGATCAACAAACTGGACAAGACATCGGCACTACGCAAAATGATCTTGATGACGATGAGGGAGGTGGATTGGTAGGTCCTGCTTTTGATCACATAATGCCGATTATGATACTTTGGTATTAGCAGGCTTTGAATGCTCGGTCCAGGGCTCTACTTATGCAAAAGCTTGACCGCAGTGGTGGTGTTGGGTAAGTTTTCCTTCCCTTTACAGTTTCTCACATTTTCAAACCTCTGTAGGGCGCCCGCTTCTCTTCAGCCTCAGGCCCCCATGGCTGTACCACCCGTATACGGTGGTATAGGTTCTGCATTGTCGATGCAAAATGGATCGGTGCTTCCGGAGGAGCCAATAGGACCACCTAGCGAATGCTTACTTTTGAAGAACATGTTTGATCCAGCCACAGAGGTTTGGAATCTCTCTTTTTGATTGCCCTTCTAAACTTGATCTGCTTTTGTGCAGACTGATCCAGAGTTTGATATCGATATTAAAAACGACGTGCAGGATGAATGCTCAAAGTTTGGTCCCGTGAAACATATCAGCGTCGACAAGTAAGCTTTTTTCCTTTGGTGATTCGCAGTGGAGCGTTACGCGTTTGTTTTTTCAGGTACAGTCAGGGGCACGTCTACGTAAGATTCGGTACAGCAATCGATGCTTTGGCCGCGCAGCTAAACTTGAACAAACGATGGTTCGCTGGGAAAACGATTCGGGCGACATTCATGGTAAGGCAATGCTGTTTTCTTGTTCAAGTTCTAAACGCTCTTGAATTCGCAGAATGTGCAAGTCTACGAAGAGAAGTTCCCGGAGAGCAAGCAGCTCTAGCGGGTGTGCTTATTTTGCTGATTGATAAAAAGATAAAAAGAAAAATGTAGTGGAGGGTTTACTCCTCCTAATGGTTTTTACTTTACAGAGAGTGATCTGTTATTGGTCTTATTACCTTTGATTCTCTGTTAATATCAGAAGATATCGCGCTAAGCAAAGTAACCATGGATTTAAGAAGATATCGCGCTAAGCAAAGTATGGAAGCTCGACTTTACGTAGAGCTAAGCAAAGATGGAAATACTTTCCTTATAGGATAATTGAAGTGATTTACACAAGCAAAGCATCAACCACGTATATATATTCCGGAAGAACTTGAATGTTTAGGATCAATCTAAAAGAAAGAAAAGAAAATGGTTGAAGTGATTGTCGATTGGGTCATAGGAAACGCTTTCAAGTTTGTGGCTGGGGAGTTTATCAAGGTGGCGAGATACAAGGAGGAGCTCCGGCCTCTAGCCGAGGAGCACCGCAAATACGTCGGCCTGCTCAAGGAGATGGAGTCCAATCCAACGAAGAACAGGTACCAAACGCAATCCAGCCAGTTCCAGAAGTGGAGGGAAGAATTCAACCGATGGTGCATGGATACCACGGAGGTGATCGAGCTAGCGAGGCGAGGAGCTAGGAAATACCAGATCTTTGAAAGGTTTGCTTGTCGATCGTGATCACATCCATAACTTTCAATCATCTTTGTTCTAGACGAAGGATCTGGCTCGCGATCAAGAGGCAAAGACTCTCCTTTTGTGGCATTCACAACGATCTTCCAGCGGCCACCTTGTCGTGCTTGGTCGTGGAGCAGCGGAGTACTCACGGCTACCGGAGGCAGCCAGTTCCGGAGAACATCATGCCAGTGAGCGAGAAGCTGGAGGAGATCATCCGGCTGCTCAAGGACCCGGAGAAGGGGAAGTGGATTGGCATCTGCGGGATGGGTGGATCCGGCAAGACCACCCTCGCAAGCCTGGTGAACAACGACGCCAGAGTTCACGAGCACTTCGAAGGCCGCGTCTACTTCCTGGGCGTCCATCGCAACGCGAGCGTGGAGAACTTGCAGAGGGCGCTCTTCAACCTCCTGGACGATGATCGCGGGAGAGCTCTCGATCAGCCCAAGTCGACGCTGCATGATCTTCTGGGCGGCCAGAGAACGCTGCTCATACTGGACGATGTCTGGGAAGGCGCGGTGTTGGATGGGCTCGACGTCCTGGATCGAGCAAACGGGAGCAAGATGCTCGTCACCACGCGAAACTCCGGGCTGCTCGAGCGGAGGAAGGCGGAAGTGATTACCTCGGCGGGGCTTCTCTCGAGCGCGGATAACAAGAAGTTCTTTTGCATGCACGCTTTCCAGGACGCCGGGAGCGAGCAGCCGGGGATTGATGATCTCGTGGGCGAGATGGCGGCGGCGTGCAAGGGACTCCCGCTCGCGCTCAAGGTGGTGGGATCTTCCATGGCGGGCAAGACGGATCGGGCAAGCTGGAAGGCGTCCGCCGCGAAGGTGAAAGCGCGAGGGGTGGCGGCACTGGAGGAGGAGGGAGAGGTGTCTCACCTCTTCGACTATAGCTACGAGGAGCTCTTGACGCTCGAGCATGGGAAGCTCTTCCAGGAGTGCTACCTCTGCATGGCTGCGTACGAGGGAGACGCCAGGATCACGCTCGAGGAGCTCGTGGCGCTGTGGAGAGGAGACGATCTCATCCCGCCTCTGGCCGTGGAGCAGGGCGAGACCAGCGGCTGGGACGAAGCTCGGATGATTCTCGACGTCCTGGTGAAGAGATCCATGGTTGAAGTCGAGGTTGATGGTGGTGGCTACTGCCTTCACGATGTTCTTCGCGAGCTCATCCTGCGCCGCCTCGACAATCCTCGAGGGGAGCACGAGAAAGGGTGTGCTTTTCTGGCTGGACGAGCGACAGGGAAGAGGCTCACAGATCTATTCAGCTCCAAGTTGGTAGGAGTGAGAAGGATCTCGCTGCGAGCTTCCGGGATTTCTTCGCTTCCACCGAGCGAGGGCGTGGCACACGACGTTCGGGTTTTGCTGCTCGACAAGAACAGCCTCGCAGATGGTGGATTGAGTGCCGTCAAGAGTTTCATCAACTTGAAAGTCTTGAGCATAAGAGGGACGAGCTTCAAGGTTCTACCGAGCGAGATTTGCAGCCTCGGGCAACTCCAAGTGCTCGATCTGCGGGACTCGAGGCTGGAAGAAGTCCCCCAGTGCTGCTACACCATGTCCTCGCTCAAATACTTGGATCTTCTCACAAGCTCGAGCTTCAAAGGAATTAGAAACTTCCAGTTTGCAATGCTCCACAAGCTCTCTAACTTGGAGGTATTACACCTGAACTTTCGCAGCCCTCGGGACGAGAAGCTGGATCTAGATGCCCTTGAGAAGCTGACGAGCCTGGAGATCTCGAGCGACGAGAAAAACCACGGCAGTATAGAGATCTTCTCGAGCAGCCCAGCAAAGTTGGCCAACCTCCGGTACTTGACACTCCATGCAAGGGTGGCAAACCTCCGGAACTTCTTTGCCATGCCGGGCAATCTCGAGTCCTGCGTGGTGCGAGTGGAAACCTTGCATGGCTCGTGGAAGAAGCTGTTCCAAGGGTGTGATTATCTGAGGCTGCTCGAGGTAGGGACTTGCTTCGATGAAATCCCAGAGGTGGACAAGTTTGTGGCGCTCTCGTCTCTCACACTACACGGCTGCAGCATGCCACCAGCATCCTTTGCAAGCTCTTCAGTCTTTCCATGCTTGACTACCCTGGTTTTCTGGGACTCCACATTCGAGGAGCTCAAGGATTTCAACCCAGGATCATTCCCTGTGCTTGCAAAGCTCGAGTTTCATTCGTGTCGGAGCCTGCTCTATCTTCCTCGATCGGTAACTCGGCTCCCAAAGCTCAAGGAGCTTCATGTAGTGAACGGAGGCTTGGTGAAAGGTCTGCTGGAAGAGTTTCCGGGGCAAGAGGACGTGTTCAGTGAGCTCCGGGTGCTCAATCTTGAGGGGACGCGCATCCAGTGCCTGCCTCTGGTGGTGGCATGGTCTCCAAAGCTGGAGAGTTTGTCGGTGAGGGAGTGTTACAAATTGGAGAAGTTGCTGATCGAGTCAAGTGCCGTGGACGAACGTGAAATGTTCCCGAGGTTGATTGAGCTTAACTTTTCAAACACCAGCCTCAACTTTGATGACCTCCCAGCACGTCTAAGGAGCAAGGAGGACCTCAAAACTATATGCTGAGAAAAACTAAGTTTATTTCAATCTGTATTTATATTGTTAAAGATTGGATGTTGAGATTCATTATTTTATTCATTACATGACTTTTCATATGAATTTATATTGATTATACATAGAAGCCTTGATTGATAAATGTTGCTATTAAAATTATTTTATATATGTTTTAATAGTTGAATATAAAGCTCTATTAATTTCCATTGAAGAAATATAGGTTTGGAATTACAATATTTCTTGACAAAGAATGTCAAAATAGTATAAATTATATTTTTATATACATTTTTTCAAATATAGTATAAAAATATTTTATTAATTTTTCAACTTAGCAATGCCGAAATTTTTTATTTTTATTTTAAATTTAATACTTTAAAGTGTTAAAATTTATCTTATCTTATAATTATGTTATAAATATTATAAATTAGGTATTAAAAATTAAAATTTTATATTAAATGAAACTAAAATATTTTTTCTAACACCAATAAAAATAATAAAAAGTTTTATGTTAAAAATAAGTATACAAATCCATGGTTTATATGTTAAATGATATATAAATGGTATATATGTTAAAAAAACTTCTTTCTTATATAAAAAGAATAAAAACTGGTTAAAAAAAATTTAACCAAAATTGTTTTGGTTTGGTAGTGTGAAATACAAGTCACATTTATCCAAATGTCATCACTTTACTTTTATTGAAATCTAAGGCATTTGAAAACAAAATTTGAACTATTTGATTAAAGTCTAAAGTCCAAATTAGTAAATTTATTTAGTCTCTATTTTAAAACAAAAATTCATTTTTATCAATTTTTTAATAGCTTTAAAGAACTAAAGACAAAGTGCATGCTTTTGTATGAGATTTTTTATTGTAATATATGTATCTACTTATTTATTAATTATGTTTTCTCAAATTGTTGCTATACGTCATAGTAGTTTATCTATTTAAGCTGCACTGCAATAAATTGCAAAGTAGTTTGTAAAAAGTATTGCAACAAAGGGTTTGTATGAAATGATTTAAATTATAGATATAGTTACATATCTATAACATAAGTTATAGATATGTAAAAGTTCTTTCTAGATATATACTTAAAGGTTTTTATAGTTTTCTCATATTTTATATAATTTTAAATTTTAAGCACATTCTTTAATAACTCAGATGAATACCAAAAATACTCATTTAAACTTAAAATATATTTTTATTTTCGAAAACATGTCTTTTTTAAATGAAAATTTTGAAACTAAAATTAATCTGAATAAAGCAGTTATTGATGGTAAAAAAATATAAATCATTTTAACTACTTATTATGGTCTCCAATACCATTCAAAGACCAAGGAAGTGTCTGTGACATCTAGATGTAAGTTGGTATACTCATAAAACCTGGATTCTCTCGCCAACCAACGAGGATTGGGACGGAGGACCCAGGGCTTTGACAAGTGAGACTACCACTGTGGATCGTCAGCCGCGATGCAGATTTAGGCATGCTGGCGTTGGAAAGTGTGGCCTCAAAGAAGATCAACGTTCTCAGGCAAACCCAGAGGAAAGATGGCTATAAGGTGGAGGACTTAGAGAGGGCGATGAGTGAAGCATGCTCCAAGGGACTGATCTTCGTGATGAGGGACTTTGTTTTCCTTTGCTTCCTCCTTGGGAATAGTTTCCTCGACATTTGAAAGGGAGGGATCCGTCAGCTGGAGGCTTACAACAAGACTTTTAGTGAGGGTCTTCTTGATCAACGATCATGGAGAGATAGATATGGAGCGATTCGAGATCTTCCTTCGCAATCGCGATCTTGGCCATGGTTTTGGAACCATTGCCATACCTCAACACTCTCAAGTGGTGTTCAAGGTACTATTTTGATGCTTCAGTGGTGGTAATACAAGTGGTCATCCTTGGAAACCTTACGACTTTATTGCAACGCAACAGGATTTTTAAAACATGCAAAAAGAAAAAGAGAAAAAGAAGAAAGAATGT